ATTGATATAAATGGAATAGTCAATGTGAGATCGCATAGAAACAAACAAAGGCCAAACATTGCTAACAGTAAATTTTACTCCTTTCATTAAGATTTGTTGGAAGCATTATTATACTAAACACCTTTTATTAATCGTACTTTATGGCAGGATTTAATCACAAATTTGGACAAAACTTTACGTGAACCAATAAGCGTTCCTTTCTCGGCACTGGGTGGGGGGTGTGTGTGTGGATATTCGGCAGTTGACTTCTGACTCCAAACCCCACTGTATGTCATATTCGACCCCTTCCACAGTACTCATTTTACCTTTTCTCTCTGCCTTTCTGTCTGTCTGACCCTTTTACACCTGCAAATAATTATTCTGTTTCCTCCCTCTCGACATTTTGCCACTTTGATATTCCTTCACTACTCTGTGAAGCCCGAAACCAACTAAAGGGCTTATGATAAATATCAAAACGCCCTCAATTTGAGAAAAAAATCTTTTGACACTGGAAAAGAGCTTTACCTTGCATTAAGTTGACAATTCTCGGTGTTGTCTAATGACATTTCTACGTAACGCATTTACTTCGGTGACTAAAGTCCGCATTCCAAATGCATTATCATTTATACCCCGGATCCAGTGTGCAACAAAAGCAAATCCGACATTTCAACTGACTTTTGCAGTTAAGAATCCCTTTTACTCATCATCTTACCTTTCTCTTTGCATTAAAATGAAAGGAAATAATTCTTACGCGTTTTCAACATCCCAAGAACATAATGGTATATGCCAATGATAAAACCAAAATAAGGGAAATCTGAGAAACAAAAATTCTGATAAAAAACCCAGATTTTGAGAAATATTCTGGATTATGCGTTTTTAAAATACTGAATGAAACAAAGCTTACATTGTTCACATGTAACGTCAAGGTCTTTTCTTACGAAGTTTGGTTTACAAGTGGCAATACCATAAAATACCACATTAAAATATGCCTTAAATACGTGGACAATAAAAGTGCTGTTTTAATTCATTAAAATAACCTTTTGTTAGATTTGCCACAACTTCTGTACCATACAGTCAGTTTAAAAAGTGAACTCAAAGTTTATGTAACAATAATAGACATAATAGTAGAAATATGAGTTGACATTGCCACATGCCTTTCTAATGCGCTGTCTTGCGGGAATGACAGTTACAGCTAGTTGTCACTCAGTGTTGGTAGGTTAGCAACATATCTTCCACGGTGTAATATATTTATTGTAAATTATCCAATTATAATATTCTGTCTTTTGGAAGCAGAACAGTTAATCAAGGGCATCTAAGTGGCCCTTTATTTTTGCTCACGACAATCAAACTTGCTTTTAACTCCAAGCTTACCATAAAATGGCTTCTTTAAGATTAATATAAAGGCTGCGCGCAGCAGAAACAAGTTGATTTGTAAAAGGTTTGACCAACAGAATCTTAGCGCAAATTCTACTGAGAAAGATCATAAGGACCACCATATCTCTGAACTGTAATGGCAATTCTCCCCAGTTGTAATGTATCTATTGCATGCTCTGTTCAACCAGTTGATAACATGAGCCGTGGAAGGCTGAAATAATGGGAATTAATTGAGGCGTATGAGTTTAAGAAGTGACACTCGTTTCATATGTAGCAAGAGATTTGTTCCAGAAATGTTTTGAAAGCCATATGAGTATAATGGGTTTAATTATATCATGAGCTATGCTTAAGAAACAGAGGAATCATTTTTGTTAAATATTTTAAATCAAAGTTGAATAAAAAAAATTTTAAGTCAGTAAAACTCAAATGAACGCATATTTAGCTCATGTGCATATCAAATAATTCCAAGCTACTTTGATAAATTCTGATTCAGCATTATTTATTATATTTTTTGAAATAATCAAGCAGTAGAAAATTTGTAAAACGAACTAATAAAATCAATTTTTTGTCCTTAAAAATGGCGACCAATTTTTTCCCATTTTCTGCAGGTTTAAAAGAAGCAAAACGATTCCCATTGTGATAATGAATTAAAAATTTGTTTTTTAAACTTCTTCCTGTCAAATATGAAAATGAAGCTTCCTAATAGTCTTGAGAAGCTAGCCAATTAGTTGAAAAAGCAATTGAAAAAGAACAATGCTTGCAAATTCTATTTCCAAGCAAATTTAACCGCACGTGGATTATATAAAATATTTACCTCCACTTGGCAGGAGATTTATTGGTTTTAATTTTTTTCTTAATGAAATAATTTAATAAGATGCAGAAAGACTGTAAATTTTTTAGTAAAATAAATTACAAGAAGCCTGTAAAATTGATCTAATTTTAAATCGTTCAAATTTAGTTTTGTTGAACGACGGAAATTGTAAATTTTCCTTTTGAGCGTAAACCGGTTTCGAGAAATAACTTTATTTCCACGGCCTGTATTATAGTAAAAACACATTATTTGCATTATGAATTGAAATGGTTATGAGAAATGCAAGTCTTTAAAAAAATATTATTGTCTTCTTCTATATTAAAGTGATATTCATTCATTATTCCTTAAAAATTACTAAATAGATAGATACGCATTCAAGTAGCCCTACACTTATATCCAGTTAAAATAAGGATTAATTGAACAGTAATTAAAAATATTGTAAATGTTAAAAAGAAAACTTTGTCAGATTTAAAAATAAATACGTCAATCAAATCATTTCAAGTATATTTAAAATTTATTAAACAGAAATTAGAAGCAAATTCAAGCTCATACATGAGATATGCTAACCAATATCAAAATTATAATTTTTTAATTTAAAATCGCAAAAATAATAGCAATCAAAATTTTTTGAAAATATATTAAAACTGCTTAATATTTAAAATTCCGCTAATTACTTAGAATCAGATTAAATGTAAATGTACTTTCAAAATTTTATCCAGTTTTTTTCAAACTATGCTACCGTTTAGGCGTTCACCAAATAATTTATTAAATAAAATTCATGCACAGATAATAATGCCTTTAGCCTTGTTCACCATTTATGTAATAAAATTTATTCAAATATGAAATCCAGTTTACTTTTGTACTTTTCCATCATTCAAAAGAGGAGAACATCTTAAAAATGCAGACAAACAAATTTGCCGACTGAAGTCTTAAAATCTCCTCCACTTCACTCCTTGAAATGCAAGTATTTATTTCGAGAGAAAAATTGAATTGACTTGCTTGATTTCAAAGCACTTCAGGATTTACAAAAGACACAAAATAGGTTCGTTTGTTATTTGGTTGAATGGATCGGGAAAACTAGGAAATGCAGAGGAATTATCATCCACAGGATTGTCGGAATGGATGTAGAGACGGGGCTTTGTAACTATTATTAAAATTTTACATTATGTAGCAGAAACCATCAACTTTTCAACACTCGAGTTCTGTTCGCCGCATTCCGCAATAGAATCCTGGTGTTGCAGGTTACGACGCCTTGTAGGCAATGCGGACGTAGATGATCTTCGCAGAATTCGAGAAATATAAGAAAGAATGCACGAACGTCTACCTCCTTGATTCTTCCCTTCAGGACTCATTTCTTCAGTATTTGTGTAGGGAGAATTTGAAGCTGCTGACGATAAAGCCCTTCTGCGGAAACGACGTCTAGCTGCCTGAATTATCTGCTCTTTCGTATGTGATCCACGGGAGCTTGACTTAGTTGAATGTGTATTCTGTCGAGGATATTCATTTACGAGAGAATAACATCTTTGTTCTCTTTGCATTCTTTGCATCATCTTTTCCAGATGATTTTCGATGGCCTGACCGAGGGCGCTAGGATCTTGATCGGCCCCGTATATTTCCCAAGTTTGACCTTGTTCATCATAGCTAACCTCTCTGGGTCGGATTGATTTACTACTAGACGCTCCTCCCTCTGTGGAGCTTGTATTCGATCGGTTTTTACTCGCTTCTGGGTCATTGAACTTTCCTACGTATTTCAAATGAGGAGCTGATATGGACAGTCTTCTTTCACTAATGATTCTATGTTTTGCTGATCCACTATCAGGATAATTAATAGCCAAGGGGACTGACTCCTTAAGTTTCGATGTTGAACAGCTCTGAGCTGACTTATTGAGTACATCATAGAGCTGAAAAACTTCTAGACGCCTACGAGTGTCTTCAAGATCAAGACTCAATTTTGCCCGACGATGCCGATTTGAAACCTTCCTTTGAGGGGTCAAATTGGATGGACTGTAGGTGGAAAAATAAATATCACCCATAGCTGAACGTGGAATTCCATGAGAGATATCATTGGTGACATTGAATGTTTCAATCATGTGCCGGTGAATTTGCCTGCCAAATGAGCGCAATTTCGACTTGACAATAGTTGAGACATTGCCACTTGAGGAAGTTTTATTTAACTTTTCGACAAATTCTACATCATCACCGTTTGAAATGTTTCTTCTAACTTGAAGACACAATTTTAATCGATCAATCTCGGCTTGATTCAATGGAACTCCAGAATATATTGATATTGATCGCCGTTTGTGGAGAATTTTAGAGGCTGGGATAGGAGAAGATCCTATAGACTTGATAGCAGGATCCATTACGGTATAAGAAGGACAAGTGATTTGTAAATTATTCTTGTCTCTATCTTATCTTCAAGCAAGGAGTCTTACAAATGGGGGATTTTTTGTTGTGGGCAATACACGAAGGAAAACGCGACTGGCTGGCTGGCCAATAGGTTTAGTCTGATTTTCTGCTCCACTCTCATTGGTCAAAAGGCACTTCATATCTAATGTATGAATTGCTGCCTGTGCTTTAAAGGCCTTTCCGGTTAGAGATAAATCTCCAAAGTGCTATTTACTCTAATTTATTAGGCATCAGCAATCTCTGAATTTAAAATATATTCTGTTTATTTAGTCCTAAAATGCTTTTAAGCAAGTGGTTTGAGCTTAGAAAATTTTTAAATCAGTATTTGGCCAATAGAGAATGCTTTTATTCTACTGCATGTGGAAATAAGGAGTTGATATATTTCTGTTTACAATTTTATTCCAAATACGCAAAATTGCTAAAATATTTCATTAAAATTTACACGAAGGCATAAAAAAGGTGAAATGTTACACAGAGCTTTTCTTTTGATTGTTCTACCGCTATATTTAATGATTTTATTTTAACTTTCCCTAGAGGGGTTAATATTCTCGACTCCTAGAAGTTCTATTCAGTTGTCTTTGGTCATTTTATAGCAATATATTTCCAAAATATCCGAAGTAGTTGTGAATGGATGTTATATCTTTTGTTTAGCACTCTATAGCACTTGTTTAATCTTCACGAGAAGATGCTATCCGATGCATGGTGGAACTGCTGGCAAATTTGACAGTGTTATGATATCTTGTTTAGGGTAGTCTTAAGAAGCTTATTAAAATGTCCTTGAACTTATTCTATTGAATCTGTATTTATTCTTTATGAAATTCCTGTGCTCAGAGGCGTGTTTAGAATCTTCCAGTAACACTGCATTCCTCTTTAGCTGCCAATTTGGAGCCTCCATCTCTTCCTTCTAAAAAGCACTCCCTTTCGGGTCAGTTTTTTCACATGTAATAGCTATTTCAGTAACTCTTTTATCTTTCCGGTACATTTTTTCACATTCTTTCCAAGTGTTTTCATACCGCTTTCTTGAGAGATCTATCTGTAGATTTTCATTCTGTTTCATATCAATTTTCATGCCACCTTTTTGTTCTATCACCTGGCTGATTGTTGTTGTAGCCTTTTGAAGTTTAAATTCACGTCTCTTTAATGCCAATCCTTGCCCTTGACCTTAATAATATTAATATCAACGCATGATGTTCATCTCACGGAAATTGAGCATCAATTACAATAGAAATACTAGATGTTATTCGATTAGGTATGTAGAAATTACTTCGTACACCAAGAAGATTGTAACTTCAATAGCATATTCGGGGTTACCTTATCAGCCTTTTAAGCGTTCATAGCAAAAGTGGCTTAAAATTGTCCCCCATGATCTAACTTCCCCTCTCTATCTCTACTCTACCACTTATTTCTGTTTGATAAAGCACAAATTATCAATATTTTACATGAAGGATTTAAACTTCTGCCATAAATTTTAATGCGTGCTGATAAATCTCATTTTGTCTGAATTCACAAATGCACAATCACTCCCTCAGCATGTATTTTTATGGTAGCGCGAATAGAGTACGATTGAAATGTGGATATTATGAGTTATAAAGTAGATTAGAATATGATCTTTTCAAAAATTAAAGATAAAATTTTTAACATCAAATATTTTGAAATAGGAGTGTCTGCCTTTTGGCGCCAATTTTTGCTTCCTTAAATTCAACCAAATTTTGTTTGAATTGCAACAGAACAGGGAGAAGCAGATTGGAAGTTAACTAATTAGCAGAAAGCAATTACGAGTGGAAAAGAAGGAGAAGAAGAAGAAGACCAGGATTGGTGAAGTGTCTGAATGAGGGGGTGGTGGTGGTGGTTGTTTTGGCAGTGCAAAATCCACTACGATAGTGTCCTATTTGTTAGAATGAACAGCCATTTTAATCTTGAAACACTGACTCACCTAGGAAAATGTGTTAATTGGAGCTTTGAAGGCGAATCAACCACTTGAAGAAATCGGATAATTTGGGAAGGGAGCTTGAGGTTACGTCGGTGAATTAAATGCCAGGCCTTTGTGTAATGGGCTTGTTTTAGCCTATTCACGAGGAGCAAGTAGATGGCCAGCCATGTCAACAGAAAAAATTCTTATTTCATAGGAAAGAAAAAATTTATAAAAATTCTACAATCAGCCGCTTTTATAGTATGAATTTTGTAGTTCAACTAAAATGTTATTGTTTCATTTCAAAAATTTGTTCCCAATTTTTAACTTTAACTGTCTTTGGCGGAAAGGAAATTTACAGCAGCGCCTCATATAATTGCATATTACTATTTCTATTAATGAACCTTATAAATTAATTAACGCCTTATGGAATATAATGCGGTTAATTCAAATCTTTGCTTTAGGCAAATACGAGTACAGTGACAAAGTTTTTTAAAGTTTTATCAACTTATCCCAGGTTATGCTTGAAATGTTCCCACACCGACTAGAATATGGGACCAAATCATCCAATTACAACTAGAAAATGAAAAATGTCTCCTGCTTTTTAAGACTCACCAATTTTTTGTGGCGAATGTGACTTCCTCATTGATGGCTCATTTTTATCCCTCTTTCATTTCACCATTTATGGCATTCTCCCGGTATTACCCAAATTCGGGTGCATTTGCGTGACTGAAACTCTGCATTTCCCTACCGTGCCATGGGGCATTAACAATTATACTAATAATAATTAATAGCCTCATAGAGAGTAAATTGCTTCAGAGAATTCGTGAATCAAAGCTTATGCACAATTTTGCATTTACTTCTAATATACGATAAAATGGATATACTCTTTTTTTAAAATTCTGATCGATATCAATGAATGGGCCATTTATTGGTTTCAAGAGGTTTATGTCTTCAAAACTTTAAATGTGTGAATTATTTATTTTGATTACAAGTTAAGTCATTCCTTATGTAGTCAGTTTTGTTGTATTAGAGCTGTGAGCAAAGGAACTCAATGGAACTAAAACCAAAATATAATTATCTTAAGTTTACAATTTGCATAAGAAATCTCAAAAATGAATTTACATTGAAACTAATTGTAAATGCGGCGTTCAAATAGAATTTTATTATTTCAAAAGCGTAAAAATATTTTACAAGTGCAATCGTGTTGTTTTTCACAGCTTGTTCTCAAACTGTTGATGTTCGTGGTCTTCCGGCAAGCTGTTTACGAACGTTCCCAATTGTTCCATCAGCTTCTAACTTATCTCTAGTTCGAAAGAGAAGTTGGATGTTTTAATTGAAATTCCCTCCTAAATCTTTTTTGGACTTCTACTGCACTCTCACACTTTCTGTGATATTTTTAAACAAATTTTCTTTCTCCAAAGCTAAATCTGGCTGTCGTTCTTGTATTCATGGTAAGAATCTACAAAATCTCCAACAGTTAAGTTAGCGACAATTTAAAATTATTTGAAATGTGATAAAACGTAATGAAAAAACAATAAAATTATGCTTGTAAATATTTGTATACCTTTGAAATAATAAAATAATAATTTAGTAATTTATCTATATCAAATGGCAGGCGTTTTGATGACCATCATTAGCCCTTTAGTTGACTTCAGGCTTCACAGAGGGGAAGGAACTTCAAAGTGATAAAAATTCGAGAAGGGGGAACATAAGAGTGATTTACAGATATAGAAGAGATAGACATACACAAAGACAGAGAAAAGGTGAAATTAATACTGTGGAAGTTGTGGAATATGACATACAGTCGGGTCATGGTAGTGTGAAGTCAGAAGTCAACTCCCGGTTAAAAGACCTTTTTGTCGTATAAGTATACGTTGCCCAGGGTGCACCACGTGGAGGTAAGTCTATCGCACATCCCATGAAATGATAAAAAACCCTATGATTTCGGTTTTTTTAAGTGCATAAACAATTTTTGAGACACCCCGCACATACATTGTCCTGGTTAAACTAAATGCATCTAAAAATACGGGCAAAACTTTTGGCTAATTGTTTTTAAATTTTGTATCTCGTTTTTTTTCCAGTATTGATTGAACTTAAACAAAATGGCCTAATGCGGTTCAGTTGGTAATAAACACTGCAGGGTAAAGCGTTAGTCTCAGTCACGGGAACAAATAGTGGAATTTCATTTTTGGAACGCGAACTGTCCAGTTAGTAGAAATTGTACAGGCCATGTCCATAAATCAAATGAAATAGAACTCCTAAATGACTTGGCATTGCTTCCCGTGTTTCTGCATTCCTCCACTCTCCCCCCCCCCACCACCACCACCACCTCTCAACTCTCCCCACCCCACTCTCAAAATTTATCATTTGTTGGACTTTCTGTCACTCCTCCTCAGTTGTTTTCATAAAGTGCTTCCTATTTCTAGTAGAAATAGTAGCAATAATAGCGCGAAATAAATAGACAGACGAATTATTATTTATTGATTATGCTTTGTGAATGTGAAGTCAGCTTTCTTCTAGCCACACTATTGTGCTTTTTAGTCAATGTCGAGGAATACCAATGCCATAGCTCCTATTCTGAACATTAGTCGTTGCAGAGTGCAATACTAAATTCCCCCACCCCTCTCTCGAACACGTATTTTACTCATTTTTAACCAAGGTGTATCGGCGTGGTTGGCCATCTACTTCACTCAATAGCCATTAGTGAATGTCGATAGTGTGACTTTTGACATGGCAGCCAATTATTTTGGCCACTGCGTTAATGGTACAGTTTCTAAATTGAGATATCAGTTTAATAGAGGCCGTTGATATTCCATTCTTTAATTCATTAATGCCATTTTTTAACAACTTCTAGATAATGTAGAAAAGGTTGTGTGGGCAACAAATGGTTTTAAAGTATACCGAAGCCTACTGAAATTATCAAATTTTTAAATAAATTAAAACAGTTTTCCGGATAATATTACGCTCTTAATCGAGGTTTAGATAAGAAAGATCATTTATTAGTTAGCATCTGGCAGATTTGTTTGTCTAAATGTTTCCTTC